AATTTAAAAAAAATAAGGATTACAACGTACCTTCATCGTAAGTGATGAGATCATCATCGATGTTAGCCAAAGCATCGTTACCATTAACTTGACAAAATTTAATATCTTGATGGAAGAATGACTTTGCTGAATTGTATCTACAACTAAACAGCTTATAAAATATCTCTTCTCGTCCCTGCATAAAAAAATAAGTATGGACAATTGAGTCACTGTCAATAACACCAGTATCTAACTTAATTTGGCTGAAATGACAGAGGAAACCAAAAAATTGTCAAAGCACATAGTTCTCTAAAATTTCGTTCACCTCAGATTCATGGTTTTGGATCAATAATTTAATTAATGAAAACAAACTGTTGAACTGACTGAACATGATGTTAGGAAGAATGTAAACATCATGCAAACAATAATCTACTATATAGTGTACACATAAAAATAACTTACTTTTTCAAAGTTCTAATATATTGCTTACTATTAAGACGTGCCCCTCGATACAAAAATACAGAAGTGAATTTTAAAGTTACAGTCCGATCTGTTAGTAATTTGGCTGCATGATGTTTTTCAGCACTTTTTAAAAGATAAACTGAACAGTTTTCACAATAGCAAATGACATAATAGCATTTTACCTTCGAGCAACAAATCTGCAAGTTTTTTCTATGGTTGTACTTTTTTTGGAGGGGGGATGATGAGATATCACAAGTAATTGTGTTGTGGCAGGAATTTTGCTCTTTGGCAATATGTATGCCATATAATGTTTTTGTAATCATTAATTTCAACCACTTAAAAATTTTGTCTTCTATAAACTCAACTGATTATTTAAAAGTTGTCAAAATTTTAGAGATTTCACCGTAAATCAACAACAAATACAAGGACAGACATTTTCTCTTCAAAACCTTTCCCTGGCGAGAAAGGCAACAATATTGGTCAAGTGAATCAGAGAATCATTTAAAAATAAAACAAAATGTCTGCCATTCAGCCATTTTGAATTAAAATGCGAAACAAAATAACTGGCACCAGTAATAGTTCACCACGATGATGTTATTACCAAGTTTGAATAATATTGACTAATGATGAGATTAAATTTTGTGATATATAAACAAACTTGGAACTTTTCATGATCTGCATGCAATACTAAAGTGAAGTATCAAGCACCAAAGATTACCTGTGGACTGCACCATTTCTCACAAGTTTTATCAAGCCATTCTCCACCATGATGCTCATATAGATTATCCACAAGATGAGCTAAAATTGAAATTAAAAAAACATAATTCATACTTGATTACTTTCATTGAAATACATTTACTGTAATCCAAAATAACTAATACTCACCAACTTGACTGAGTCTGTTACAAGCGATATAATACCATCTCATTGGTTCCTGGGCATTATTTCTCATAGCTGTGGCCATCCAAGCTGTCTGTGTATTTGGTAGTGAGATTTCAAGACTTGCTAGATAACAGACTGCCGTCAGAGATAGTGCTTCACTCCATTCTATGGCACCCTATCATAAAACAGAATTGGGGCTCAAACAATCTAATGAAAATAATTTACTTCAATTACAAATATCACTGAATCTAAAATAAACTTATTTGATATAAATTATATTGTTAACAATGTCTGTCATGTGACCTCATTAATATGCATAACTGTAATTCTAAGCATAAATACAGTTATTCTACCAAGTTAGCAAGGGTGTGCAACCATGACTGATGCCAATAACAGCCACTTCAAAGCAGGACATTTCCTTCATTTCATTCATCTATCTGTCTGTCCTTGTCTATCTGTCCATCTGCTAGTCTGTCCTAGATTTTTGACTTTTTGAAAATAACTAGTCTGATACCAGCTTTTGATACTTAATATGTAGGTATTTTAGGTGGACTTTAACTTATTTTGTGACAATATCTTCAATTTTCTATTTGTAGCAAATGTTTCATTCCCCCTACCGTAGAGGGCGTTTATTTATTTGTCATGTGACAAATAGGCCAACAAAACTGTTTGTTTTTTTTATATTTTATATTGTTTTCTGCCACATATGATGATTTTTTTTTGTTTTTACATGTATGTGTTAAACCGTGCCCTTGATTCACAGTATTTTCCTCACTTTTACTTGTTGTTAGCAAGGAAAAAATGGGTCAGTGAAACAAGTTTTTATTATTCAGAAAACCATATCTTCGCATATAGATGGTGTAGCACGATAAATAAGATATTGTTAGAGAGCTGAATGTGTCAACTACAGGTTCAATGATTTTCTTGAAAATCACTCTGTTTCCTTACACAACATTTGTAAACAGATCTGTGATTAAATATGTTATTTCCACTTTTACAGAACATGCCCAGTGTGGCACTGTGATAGCATTTTTGTCATACCCTTCCAAGAAAAGACACACTTTTTATATTGTAAATAGAAATGATAACCAAAGCATTTCTCATACACAATATTGTTCAATGGGTGGAAAAATACAGTACTTGCATTTTTGTGGATTAAAGAATGGATTTAATTCGTAAGCAATACTGCTTAGCGGTACTTTGGTAAAAGGTTCAGATTAAAATTAGCGAGAAGATGACCAAACACTGCATATTAGTTCATCACTTTAAATTATGAATTATGGCTGAGATTTAAAAAAAAAAAAAAAAAAAAATTACCACATCACTTCAGCATTTAAATAAGAACATGCTTTCACACCATTGGTGGTGCTACTCAAATCTATTACTCATGTCGTATTGTCCGACAATGGTTAAATCGCTCAGCTGCATTCCGGCTGATTTGCTATTAAACATGACAATTCTATAGCTTAAAAAATCATAGATGTATAAAAACCTCCCCAGTCAAACTAACACTCATTCACTATAGATAGAGGGCGCTATATTAACAGCCAGTAGATACTGTAGAATACTTTATTTTCACTTGGAATTAATTTTCGCTGAAGGAATGATTCAGTGAAAATGAAATCCAGCGAATATACCTTTTTTCCTACCTTTTACATTCAACTCTGCAAAAATCAGTGTAAATAAATTCCACAAACACACCTAAAAAGTCTTTTCAGCAAAAATAAATTCCAGTGAAAATAAAGTATTTTACAGTACATGTATGAGGCAGAGTATTCAATCAAATCATGATGACCAAGCAGTTCTTAAAATAATTACTTGAGAAACTATTCAACTTGAGTTTAGACAAGTTGTATGTCTGTGATGTCACTCACAGTTGTGTAATGCAATTGTATTCATAGTATTTTTTATGCCCTAGAAATTATGATAATATGATTTAGAAAACGAATGGTCATCTTCTATGTGTAAAAAAATAGATCATCACATTACTTGACATAAAAACATTCATGCACATGACGAGGAGACGAGGTAAACATACCTTGAACGCCATTTTTGTTATAAGAACGCCACAAAGATAGTAAAGTTGTCCTCGCATCTCCCTAAGTGCAACAGTCCATTCTGTTTCTTCATCATCATTGTTGATTGGACAATAATTGTAAGCATTTAGTAAATATTGATCAAATCTAAACAAGAGAAATAAATATAGTATAAAAACAGTTGTAAATTGTAATTGGAGGATATCTACACCACTATATTTGCCCATACATGTAGGTTCTAGAGAAGAAGGGCAAGAGAAACTGGGAAATTTCCTTTGATGCAGTTGACTTTCTTCTCATTTATTGAACACCTCCCCCCTAGGTCAAAACAAATGATTAAACTCTTATTTTGACTACTAGTATATAATGGGCCTAAAACAAAGTTAATGGTAATTGGAACAACCACACTTCTGCCTATGGTGCTTTGGAATCTTATATCAAAATATCTTGCATTTGAGAAAGGGTCTAATATGAATTGTACTGTATATAGCTAATTGTTGTTCAGTGACACAGATCTTGGATCTACTAATCACATGACATACAATCAATGTGCCAGAAAATGTGTTAAGACAGATAATTGACAATTTAGAATTGTTGTTTTCCAAACTATTTCAAAAATGCTGCACAAAATTTAAAAATTGCTTAAACAGCACTGCACATGGCCACTCTTTTGTTAACCTTAGATAATGCAATTATAAACAACAGTTAATATAACAAAGCTTGTACAGTTAACAATCTAATTACTTTTGTTGTTTGTCAGTTTCTTCTCTAGGTTCTATGATATTGAATACAAGAAAAACAATGCATTTTTACATCATATCTGGCATTTGCATATACAATATAATGATAAAACTCACGAATTGTTGTTAAAATCATGGATTTATAATAACTACACTAAATAATGCAGAGTCTCACCTTGCTAGACAATCTGTGCTCTCGGCATATGCATCGTGCTGCTCCATCGATAGCAGTACAACTTTACTAGCGACGTTCAACAGATTAACATAGATATCCTGAATTAATTTATTGTTATTAGACTTTTCTTTACTTTTTAAATAAGCCTGGTAAACAAAACAGAAATGACATGCAGTGGTTGTTCAACTTAATATGTATACATTTGTATGATAAAAGGGGTAACTGTATGCAAATGAGAAAACAAATGAATTCAGATGGAAATAATATTTTTTCAACACAAGTCTATATGTACATTTGTATATACCGGTAGACAGATACAATATAGACGAATTTGTCTTCATTATTATTGTTAACCTTTTTACTACCTACTGCTCTTTCTCGCCCCAAATCTTTCTGTACTTTTTCCTTATATACTTATATATATATATATATATATATATATAATATTTCTAAAAATGAACCCTAATTTTCGAGCCAACAGACAAAATTTGAGTTCAATTTTCAGGTTTTACTCAAAAAATTTGGCTATTTTTGTCCCAGTCTTCAGAAGGAAAGTACAAACTATAAACAGAACTATTTTGTGAATTTGTTATGAAAAGTGAGAGCTGGTGGCGAAAAGGTGTTACATATGTGACAGGGCATATTGCTAACAACATGTATTGTGATTTATCAAAGACTAAAAATTGAGCCTTTGCAGAACATTACATACATGTAGTTTTTTTGTCCACAAGTGCCACAATTGTTATTGTTTGTATCAAAAAAATCAGCGTATATGCGAATTAGAGAATTTGATTCTTTTATCTAATGAATACTTTTACTGTTTTTAGTTTATGATAAATCATAATCCAACATCCATCAACATCCACGACACGATGTTTCAATCGATATCATTAAATAAAGAATTTATTCTTGCATGCAAATTTAGCAACTTAAGCGAACAATTCTTCTGTGAAAAGTAACACAATATATCATTCCCATGACCTCATGCACACATATGTGGGGTATGTATGAAGCAACAGCAGGGGATGTCGCATCGCTTGAGAAAATAACAAACCCCTGCCTGCAAATGTCATAGTGAGGTCACTAGGTGCAATCGTATTACCACAAACTCTGCTGGATGTTCCACTTAGTATCACCAGGAATTAAGGATCAATCCCTATATGTACATTTATACCAAGATTTACATGACACAATGTCAGCAATATAATACAAATGTGACTTCAATAATAATGGTTGGCTAACTTTTAGGTTGGCTTAATAATATTTGGACCCAAAATGCCATTTGTTGCAGCTAAACCAACAAAATTCCTTGTTCATTGGACCCACTCTTACCTGCCTGATCACATTTTGGAAATTTTTATTTTGATTTGTGCTGCGAGATTCTAACAAGTTGTGAAACCTCGCGCCCAGAGTTGTCAGAGTTCTTAACCGTATTCTTAGCCATATTTCATCACTGGTGATCGCCTGCTTAAACGTTGGCAATATTTTCTTTCTACGTTTTGTATATCATTTAAAAAATTTGTGAAAAAAAAAAATCTTCACTACACTTTCAACTGTTAGGTCCACGCTAGGAATCAAAACATACGAACTAACAAACAAAATTATGTCATATTTAAATATGTTCAATTAATGTACAATTTAGTAAAGATAATTTAAATACATTCTGCGGTGTTAATATCAGGAAAAATTAGTAACACAGAGGGCAGATTGAGAGAACATATTTGTTATTATTCTTATAGTATTTTTTCAAGTTCACAGCAAGAGGGGGATATATTTCATTAGACATTTTCCATGTTTCACTTCATCTGCAGTTCTAACTTTGTGTACATTTGCATTCTGAAATGGATCTTCTTAAGACTACTATGATTATTACAAATAATTCCTGTGGCAAACATGGTGATAGGTGGAGTTATCTGACCTCAGCTAATAGCATACAACAACATTATTAAAATCATGCAAATTATGCAAATTACAAAACAAAAACTGCAGTTAACATGTTTTACTGGACAACACTTGGAACAGATTGCAACTTTTTGTGGTGTCAGTTGTCAGTGATCACAGATATAAGAGACTCATCAGAGGACAATGAGATGACCTCACCTGTAATAAATCAGCCTGTAACACAAACCACTGTAAGTTGTTGGAGAATAATTTATTCCTTTCACATTGGATACATCGATTGTATGCTTCGTCCAAACGTTTGTTGTCCTTGTACAGTTTCACTAGTTTGATATGCAGATCAACATTATCCGGACTACTTGCCTGTAAATAAACACAAGACTGTATGCACATCTATAACCAAACACAGTATAATTTTATTAAATTATTCAACAAAAGAAACTCCATGCTAATACTCAAGGAAAGAATCACATGCTTGTTTAACCCAAGATTATTAACTATGATTAATAATTAATAATCATAGTTAGACAACTAACACCTTCACTGTTCCGTTTACACACATAGTTCATACTGCTTTAAGCCCAACTCTTACCATCTCTGTGACCAAGAAATCTTCTATTTCTTTCACACTTGCTCCATTGATCCTCAAAAGGTGTTCCTGAAACAATTCACATAGAAAATATTAAATACAAGACAAGGGGCACACATTATGGGAGGGATCACCAATTACCTACTACAGTCAAACCTTGATTATCTGAACACTGATTATCGAAATTACGGATTATCCGAACATGTTTCCAAAGTCCCATATGAAATTTATTTACGGAACAGAACTGCATTTTTCAGCTCCATTGTTTGTTAACAAAAGAGTTGAAGAATGGGGTTCTTGTCACCTCTTTGTTTTGACGGACTTGCTAAGTTGCGTCTTTTGTTTACCATGATGAAAGTGGTGTTACCGACACACGCTCCATCATCGCGTATTTAGCACGTCCGTGTCGGACAGTCATTTTATCACGGTCGGTTCCTTTGCTCAGCGGGAATAAAATAATTCACAGGTAAAAATGATTGACGTACACAAACAATGATTTAAAATGAGAACATTTTCTGGAATATCATCATTCACTCAACGACTTTGTCACGAGTACGATCTACGCTTATACCTACGCTATTCTACGCTATTTTACCATGTCATCTATGAAGAGAAAACGTACACCACTAACCATCGAGCAGAAGAAGGAGATTCTACAACGACTAGATAAAGGGGAGAAAGCAGCAAAACTGGCACAAGAATACAACATCGGACGAGCAACTGTTTCGGACATTAAAAAAGCACGGCCAATGATCGACAAATTTATAAGCCACAGTGATACAGCGAGTGCTCTAAAAAGAAAGTCTATGAAACCAGCAAGAGACGAACAACTAGATCAAGCTGTGTTTTTGTGGTTTTCACAACAGCGTGAGAAGGGAATTCCGATCTCTGGTCCGATGCTACAAGAAAAAGCTGCAAGTTTGCACGAGCGAATCCATGCCGATGAAACGCTACCCCCGTCAGATCACACCGTATCAAGTGGATGGTTGCAACGATTCAAAGATCGGCATGACATTAG